TATGGGTTCAGTAAACTTTTTTAATTACAATAAATTACATTATTATGAAAAGGAATATATGTAAATTAGATAAACAAAAAACTTTGTAATTAAAATAAACTGCATTTATTTAAACTAAATATTCAAAATCTCACTAATCAATGTCAGAATTAAACAAACTTAACAAATGACCATCAAAGTTATTTTCATCAGCCTGTTCTAAATCACTTCTTTCAACGTTGCTATCTTCATTTTCAACTCCTTCTTCAACGATTTCTGATTTAATGAAAGCTGATAAGATCGTATCAACTCGGCCTGATTGTCATGACTTATCAATCCACAAGACAATCTCCTCATACAAAACCTTTTCTCATCTATCAGGAATTTGGAAAGGAACACAGTCCGCTTTGCATCCATTCCTTACAATGCTTTCATATTTCATGCTTTAGAATTCTACTGATGGTAAGATCCAATGACTGTAAAATTTTTGTAACTCTACTTGGCATCGCTAAGACATTCTTAAGTTTTATTGCTTTGGATTTTACCATGACCATTAAATAAGATCACACTGAAACAAGAACTTTCAGTCCTCAAGAAAAAAAACAATTTTCCTTTTTTGATATATTTCTCTCAGCCAAATAACATTACTTCTTTGCACATCCATCCTTTTCAATTGGTACAAATAATGAACTCTTTAGAGCATTTTCTCTTAGAACTTTTTTTTTTTTTTTATTATCAAAAGGGTTAATTTTTCTTCATTGGTGATATAACCCACAAAACAAGTAAAAGCCATTTCATCCTGATTGTTACTACAGAAAGTATTTTTAACCTATTGAACGAACAGTTCTGCTCAGAGAGCAATCAAAAGTAACACGAACACCATATTAATTATCTACCCTCTATTCAAATTTTGTTCTTTAATTTTCGTAGATACGTACTCCAAAAAAGCATTTCCCCCCCCCTCAAGCCGGTCTACAGGAAGCTTTTAACCAACTGTTATTTTGGTCCTGATGTATAATTTCTTTTGTTATGAACCTGAAACACCAATTAGGTCCTCAACAAAGTATTTAATGCTCAATTACTTTTGCTCAAAAGTAAATTCTAACTGTTGACACTGATACTTCCTTTTCTCTGCTCTATTGACCACTTCTCTGAATTGGCTGCCCATATGGTATAGTGATTCGAAGATCCGACTATGATACCGAAGGGCCTGGCTTCGAATCCTGGAGAAGGCATGGTTGTAACTGTCTGTTCCTTCATAGGAGATAACAATGGCTGCCTAGGTGCCTCCGCTTCCACCCTTAAGAGTGGCCAATGTTGAAAAAAGACAAAATAGTGGCAGCCGTTTGAAAAAAAAAAAAAAAAAACTCTAAATTGTCTTCCAAAACATATCAGGCTTTTACACCAGTCTTAGAAGACTTCTTATTCTTATAGATATTTTCTCTAATTCTTGTTTGGACTTTCACCGCTGAATGCATCTCTTGTCAACTTGAAATTCTCTAGCTGCAGCTCAATTTCCAATCTCTATCACTTTCTTCACTGCCGAAAGTTTAAAAGCTGTTGTATTTATAACCTTTTCTCTGAACAAGAGCCACAGTAAAAATAATTATGTAAAAACTCAACAGCATGAATGGTAAAGAAGCAGTGCAACAAGTAAGCAATAAGTGAGTTACAAAGCAGTGAGACACGTGTAAGAATGAACATAGAACTTGGTGAAATGAAAGTTCTTGTGGCCATAAAAAAAAAAAAAAAAAAAAAAAAAAAAAAAAAGGAGATGGCTGTCAGAAAAGGGAGACAAAAGTAGAGAGTTTAGCAGAAAGACCATAAATGATGGTGAGTGTAAAAATCTTTACACCAAGAGCACCCTACCACAGTTAGATGAGTTTCATCTGACTTGGTACACTGCTTTTTAGTGAAATCTTTTAGTGAAATCTGCTAAAATATTGCAGCAAATTCTACATTAACTGCTCCCTTTGTGCATAACTTTTGATTTAAACTAACAAAATTCTAAAGACAGAGAAGGAAAAAAAACTCCTTCAGATACGCCACAGATCTAAATCTTCAACTTTTAAACATGTATTGGCCACAGCTTATCTATCCAAAATTACAGTATATTGGAAGGTTGCCATGATAATGAATTGTTAACCTCTTCGTTGTCTGTAATGCATCTAGTGCGTTCAAGTGAAACTTCTGCAGGGCGGCCGTAACGTGCTTCAAGCGTTCTTCTACATTTTAAAACTTTTAAACATTTAAAACGCTTTTTTAAATGTTTACTTGTTTGAGTTCTTATTTTTGTTTGTTCTAATACCTCCTAGAGGGCAGTACTAATCAGGCATTCTATTTCTAATTGAATCCCCCCCTCCCCGTAGTTTATGAATATTTGCACCATTTTACATAAGACAGTGAGAGATCTTCAATATCTACTCAGCAGAAAAAGAGAAAAAATGAGGGGTTGTGAATTGGAAACTTAAGAAGAATATACGTTTAATGAGTACAGTCCATAATAACTCTATGATTGATGTTGAATCACGAAAAAGAACTGTAAAAAAAAAAAAAAAAAAAAAAATAACTGTAAAAGATTACAACAACAAAATGGGAGGAGTGAACCGCCTGGATCAGATGTTATCAAATTAATCCTGCTGTTAGAAATAAGCAGAGATATTATTACTTTTCCATTATGCTTTATGTCCTTATAATTTTACTTAATATTAATTTATATTCATCCACTACGAAAGTTATGTATATACAGAGAAAACAACATTACACGCTGCGAAAAACAAAAGGCTGCTGGGGAGAAACAATTACTTATACATGTATGTATGTGTGTGTGTGTGTGTGTGTAATTATGTGTTTATATATATATATAAACCTTAATTCACAAAGACATGAAGAAATAAAATCAAAACAAGTAAAACCCCCAAGTTACATCAACAAATTGTTTTCAAACCAGAATTTCCAAAAACAATAGAAAAATGTAAAAAAAAAAAAAATAAAAAACAAAGAGGAATTCAATCAAAATATGTTTCAATGTTATCAAGAGGATGTAGATCAGATTCAACTGAATCCCTCCATGAAGTAAACCATTGCATTTCTGTTCATTTAAATTAGCTGATGAACTACATGCTTTTGCAAAAAAAATCGAAGCACCATGAAGGAAGTGGTTTGTTTTTGATGAAATTGAATTTGTGTTTAGCTCATATACAAGTAATAAAATGATTAAAAAATCAAGGTCATAGTACCTGTTCACGGCTCACAATTACCCATTGAGTGTTCAAATTAGTAGTTGGTTGAACCACCCCTGGCGGCAATGCATGCTTGAATTTGTCGAGGCAAGGAGTGGTAGAGGTTCCTAATGTCATTCTGCAACACATTCTTCGAGGCATTCATCAGTTGTCACTTCAGATCTGCGACATTTTGTGTTGCCCGAATCTGGCGGCCTACCATGCCCCAGACATGCTCGATTGGTGAAAGGTCTGGTGACCTTGTTGGCCAAGGAAGCGTATCAACCACACAAAAACAATCCAGAGATATGCGAGCGGTATGTGGCCTGGCATTATCTTATTGGAAAATGGCTGCAGGATGACGTGCCATGAAGAGTAATGCAACTGGGCACAGGATGGTATCAACATATCGTTGAGCTGTTAAAGGTGCACGAAGGATGACCAAAGATGACCTGCTGTCATAAAAAATAGAGCCCCATACCAGGGGTTATAGCTGTAAGCCTTTGTAAAACAAAGGCTGATTGGAACCGCTGGCCCCATCCTCTCCAAACACGAACACAGTGGTCATCTACATCAAGAATAAAGTGGGATTCAACACTGAACACTATATGATGCCAGTCTGATGGCAGCCATGATGATCGGCTGCAATACCACTCCAGATGACTTCGCCGATGTTGTGGGGTCAAAGGCAAACGTCTTCTGTGAGCATAACCCTGCCTCAGACAAGCACTGTGAGATGGTGGACGGTACCACGAAGTATAGACGTAGCTGTTGTATGTTGAATAATCGGCAATTATACCGTTGGGGCAGTTCCGGCCTGGCAAACAACCATCCTATCTCGCCTCACAATTGTGCTCCTTGGTCTTCCAAAGCCTTCATTTCATCAGCATTTTCCTTGTAGCAACCATTACTGCCAACATTATTGTACAGACACTGTGCACAGCAATGTCTGTATGCTGCTGGTTGCGGCCTATTGCTCAGTATGACCACCCAGCTTCACGACCCCTACATTGCGACCATGTTCAAAGTCGTTTAGGTCTTCGATATCGTCATAATGACATCTTTAGTTGCTATTTTACAGTATTACAATGGCAGCAACAAAAAAAAAAAAAAAAAAAAATTTCTGCCTCTGTTACTGGTTTTATACTTTGCGAATTGCACACTAGAAATGTGTGCTATGATCAGAATTCCTGTTCATTTGCCTTGAAACTTTGATCATTTGCATGCTCGATCAAGATGTTTTTGCATACCTAATTTCGTCACAATCGCAAAAGTCCTTCTTAATGCTTCGATTTTTTTTGCAAAAGTGTGTATATACCTACTCTGTTATTCGGCTGCGTGAGCTCAGCTTTTTTTATTCTTACATGTTGGTAAATTGTGGGGTTTTTTTTTTTCTTTTTTTTTTTCCTTTAAAAGCGATTGAAATGATTGAATTATGTTGTTCTTATCTGCTGATGATTTATCTGATGTTTTGGTTAACTGATTTTGGCATTTTACTGGTTTTGATTTTACTTTTTCATGTCTTTGTGAATTAGGTTTTAAATTTCTTATTTTTTTACCTATAATTGATTAATTTTTGAGTAGCATTTTGCACAGATTGGAATATACTATTGATAAATCTGTAGAATATTTTTTTTTTGCATAATGTATTAATATGGACCCTTTCCAAGAAATATATGGACATTACGACTTCCTTGTATGGCCTACTAAATTATACAAAGTTTTTGTTGCCACCTCATATTTACCACTAAAGCTTAAATAATTCATTATTCTACTATAATTTAGAATATAAATTCTTACCCAATATCAATTAAAATACTTGCACCAACTGGGAAACATATTTGAAGAACTAAAATGGGATGACGTATACCTACTGTTTAAAAAGAAAAGTTCAAATTATTATTTAAACATAAACTCAAATATAATTTAATCTATATTTTTAATAAGAACACAGGCTTATTTTAAGGTAAAAAATAAAGAAACAGGATTTTAAAAATATATATTTCAGACACATTTTATAATTGACAGTATAATTCACATCTCTTAACAAATATTAAAAGATGTTTTGTATACATTGTGTCCCATAAATAGCACCTAAACTCTGCACAGCCAGATTCCTCGTTGGAATTACATAAAAAATGCCCATAGAACTGTACCTGTACAATCCACAGTTTACAAGAAAAATACATCGCAGCCAGTGCAATGAAAAAACACCATATTGGACACATCAACAGCAGTATTTGCATATCTTTTCAGATGATAACTTTCAAAATGTTTGCTGCGCATATTGACAGCAGAACAATAGTCTGTAAATGTGTGGGTCGGCATACTTGAGGATCACCTGTTGCCTTCAGGACCTTCTTCAAAGGCACATTTTCTTAGCTTGGCGACAAACCGCTTTACCCAAGCTGTAACTCTCAACAATTTTTTGAGACTGCTGAATTTCGTAATTTCTAACGCATTTTCTTCTTCCGGAATAGTCACCTGAACATAAAGTGCTTAAACGTTCCAAATTTTGAGTATCAGTTTCTACTTTAAACTTCTGCTCAGGCCATTGATCTTTAGAATCTTTCAACCATGATGGACCATGCCACCAGTTATTATCTTTCACCAATGCATTTGCTGTTTCATCACGAGTTAATTTATCTGCTGGGTTTTCTGACCCTGGATAATATTTCCACTTATCAGGCGAAGGTACAGTCTTGTATTTCTGCAACTCTATTCGACACGAACTGCTTCTACTCACGCGCTGACCCCTTTATCCACCACAAGCAAATTTCTGAGTCCATCCGATTTTAAAAAAAAAAAAAAAAAAAAAAAAAAAAAAAAAAAAAAAAACAGAACTAACCTACTTACCAAATCCTGAAACATTTTCAATAAATACTTCCCTAACCTAGCTGCAACTACAGCCCCCATCAATTCCAACCTAGGAAGGGACAACTTTTTTAAATGAAGCTATCCTATTCTTCGATATTATAAATGACATACATACCTCTCCTCTTCTCATTCTTATATCTAAAATATGCCACCGTTCCATATCCCACTACTGACGCATCACTGAAAATATGAATTTCAACCGACTGACCTTTACTTAGAACTTCTGTAAAGTAGTACCTCTCTATTTTCAACGCATTTAATTCCTCAATTTCAGCGCACCAATTTATCCATTTGCACCGTAACTCCTTTGGCAACTCTACATCCCACTCCAAACCTCTCTCCCATATTTCCTGCATCAGTCTCTTAACTCGCACCACAAATGGAGAAATAAATCCGACTGGGTCAAACACCTTAACTGCTGTGCTTAACACCGATCTTTTACTATTTCTGAACGATTCTAAACTACTCAACAATGATGTAACGTCTACTCTTAAACCATCCTCTTCTAAGTTCCACACCAAGCCTAACACTTTCAACTTACTATCTCTCTCAGACCTACTTTCTTCACACAACCCTTTCTGAACCCACAAGTCATACAAATCTTTAGAATTAGTGTTTAGCTTTCTCGAATTGAAACTCGCATCTCTCAAAATAGATACCGCCTCTGATGAAAGACTGAAAGCTGATTTTACACTTTCCCCTCCATAACACAAATCGTCTGCATATAGTGAGCTATTTAACATCTCGATACAGTTTTTGTTTGTTTCCGCATATTTCTTTAAATGATGTTTGATCGTTGCACTCAATAAAAACGGTGAACAATTACATACAAATAATACTCTGTTCATTTGCATAATTTTAAAGTCCTCACTGTCATTATCAGGATACCAGAGAAATTTTAAATATTGCCTATCTTCCCTTGCTATCCCAATCATCAAAAACGCCTTTTCTATGTCACCACAGAATCCAATTTTAAATTTTCGAAAGGCAAGAATGATATCCAAAATATTTGGATTTAGGTTTGGGCCCTTTTCTAAGCAATCGTTTAACGATAGTTTTCCTCTTTTACAACTGCTGCAATTAAATACCATTCGAACTTGAGTGCTTTTTTTTATCTTTACGGACCACTGCTCAGAATGGCATAAAGTACCCCTCTCTCGTATCCTCACACTCTTGAATAATGTTGTTTTGTGTCTGAAATTTAATTATTTCCATAAACTGTTCCCTCACAAAGCTGTTATCTTTTCAACTTCTCGCTGCACCCTTTCGAACTGCCTTTTCGCTAAACCAAAATTATTTTCCAAATGCTCTGGACTCCTATTCCACAACACACGAGTCTCATACCTCCCGTCTACATATTTCAAATCCTCTTCAAATTGTTTAATTATTCGCTCATCGCCAGCACTCCTTTCCGACGCGCACTCAGAGATTCCTTACATCAAGTTTTTGGTGCATCGGCCGGGACACGAACCCGGGCCGCCCGCGTGGCAGGCAAGCATTCTACCACTGAACCACCGATGCACCAAAAACTTGATGTATGTAATAACTTACTTAATCTTCTATTATCGGTGATTCTTGTGTTATATTGGCCAAACAAAGACACTTTCCTTTAACTAAATCTATTTAATGAAGAGAAGACTATGTACAAGTATTATATACAGATTACAGGATAACTGGTTTATACTTCTCTCAACCACTCTCATCTACCTCTCAACCCTCTCTGCTGAAAACTCTTAATTAGCTAAACATATGGGTGGCGCAGCGCCCTGTATCTCTTTTTTCTACAGAGCTAATGCAGTGGTCAGCAAACCACGGCTTGTCAGCCGCGAATCAATTTTGACTTCGTGCGGGTGAGTGTCTGTAAAATTGACGTAGAACAAGGCCACACAGCTGGTATAGTGGTCAGTGATGTTGATTGCCATACTGAAGGGCCCATGTTTGAAACCTGGAGAAAACATGGATGTCTGTAAGCATATACTCCCCGTGAGGCAAGGGGCACTCAAAATATACAGCTTGCCAAAGTTCCTTTCATGAGGTTGGGGGAAGAGGGGAGACCCCTGAACCATTTCCATGATGTTCTTCCTTAAAACTGTTGTGGAACTCTACAGTTAATGCAATGGGACTATGCCTTGTACTTGTACTACTACTGCTCACCTCGATGTAGATATAGGGTGGTAATGAGGTATGTAGCACGATGTAGATATAGGGTGGTAATGAGGAAGAGGCACATGCGACTGGAGTGATATCAGTGACAGTAAGCCAGTTACAGTTTGTTCATCAGTGTGTACAGTGATTAGTGCCTGGTATGCTGAAAAGTCTCAGACTAGCATAGAGAATACCTACTTGGCACATTAACCTACTTGTATCTTTCAAGCAGTTACAGATCTCTCAGATATCATTGGCATCAATTTAAAAAGTTGTTATAATTTTGTATAGCTTCTTTTATTGTTATAAATAAAGCATGTTTTCAGGTACCACCTATCTGACATGGCTACAAAGAAAAAGAAAAGAAAATCGGATGGCAAAAATCATAAATTTAAAGCTGAACGAGCCGAATTGTTCATGTTTACGCAAAATTCTAAATGACCTTCCGACTTATCTTATTTGTCAAGAAATAGTGGCGAATAATAAGAAATCAAATTTGGAGGGAAACATTACATATATACACATGATCTGGCATTAAGTATCTCGCCCAAATATGCGAGGAAGAGAGCAGTTGAAAAACTTCAGAAGAGTAAAAAAAATCAAGCCCTGTATTTGATTATTGGATGTATGTCTTCCAACAGTGTTAATATTGAAAACTTTTTTGTTTGCCAAGAGATTGCTAAAAGTGGAAACCATGCACAGACAGTGAATACATTAAATGTTGTTTTATAAATGCACCCAAAGAACTATTCCAGAATTTTAAGAACACTGCAAAAATTCTTTAAAAAATTAAAGAATTACAACTGTCTGCTAAAACACTAAAAGAAAGAACAATCAAAATGTCTTTGAATATACCCAATTAGCAAATCAAAGACCTTAAATTTACCTGAGCTTTATTAATAGCGGTTGACAAAGTGACATTAATGACACAATGCAAGTTTCATTTTTTGTTTGATTTATTTCAGTTATGGGTCCTAAAGAGGAAATTGTAAGACTATTATCACTGAAAGTTTAAGCCTGTAACAACGATATTGTACCTCCTGTCATTGAATGCATGGATGAACATCATATTCCACTTGATAAAATTGTTTTAATTTCAACAGATAGGGTTTGAAAGTAAGAAAAAGGTTTTCTTTCTATTTTGAAGGAAAAAATTAACCCCGAAATACTTGATTATCATTGAATCATTTATCAAAAAGTGCTTTGTGCTCAGAAATTTCCAGAAGAAATTTGCAGTGTTATGTTATTGGTGATCAAGACTGTCAACATTATTCTAGTTACAGCTTTTTATCATTACTAGTTTAAAGAATTTTTAGTTGAAATGGAGAGTGAATATGCAGATTTTCTGCTGCATAATAATATACACTGGCTTGCAATAGGAAACATTTTAATATGCTTTGTTTCCTTATAAATTAAAGCATTTCTCCATGAGACTACCTAAACTAATGGATGATCAGTGGATCAAAAAATTTTATTGCGTGGTAAACGTCACGCATCAGCTATATAATCTTAATTATGAACCACAGAGGAAAGGAAACACAATTTTTCTGATGCTGGAAAAAGTAATTTCATTCAAAAACAAATTATCCTTTCTTGATCAAAATTTTGAAACACAAATATTAATTCATTTTCCAAGCCTGCTGAAACATGGCTAAGAATCACATAATTCGGTAACTGACATTCACTATTTCAAAACAACAATTTTAAATATGAGAGAGTTCTTCTGTGGAGGTTTCAGGAATTCAAAAATAACATAGCAACATTAACTTTTGTTAAACAATCTTGCTGATGTAATAGAATTAAACTTTTCTCCTTTTAATCGGGACACTGGCACTTTTCAAATGCAGTTACTGGAGTTAAGAAACAAAGAATTATGGAGTTCCAAATTTGAATAACTTAACGCTGATATGAAACATTGGAGAAAAATAAATGTGATCTTAGTTCACAGCAAAAGTGGTCTCTTTTTTAAAGACTGGAGAAGGAAGATATGATAATTTTCAAACATGAAATAGTATTTTTGGCACATATAATAGATTAATCTAGCATTTGTTGTTCTTTCTCTCTTTAGCTCTACATATTCATATGAAGAATCTTTTTCAAGCATTTACCTTATCAAAAGTAAATTGAAAAATCTTTTTACCGATGAAAACCTGGAATCCTGCTTGAAATTAAAAACAAAGACATACAAACCTGATTTATCCAAACTTTTTAAGGAAATGCAAGGTCATTAATCACATTAAAAGTGTGTTTTGTAATATTTTGATTTTAATGTAAAAATATGTTTTGTTACTAAATATGATTATCATTATTATTATATCTGGCTTATATAATGTCAATATCTTCTTTAAACCGAGTCCTAAAAACATGGTTTTCGAAAATAAATTTGGCTTTCAATGCCATGCAGCTGATCTTCAGCTCTTTTGACTAATGATTTTGCCAACCACTAAGCTAGAAGAGGAGTATAGCCAGGAGTTGATCATCGAAGAGCTTATGGAGCTGCATTTTGTATCACAGCAAGAAGTTGCAGAGGAGATAATAGTTTTAGCAAAGCAACAACCATCTAGTAAAATAACACAGATGCTGAAAGCAAGGGAAACTGTCTCATAAAAAATGATGTATTCTAATTAATAAATGACATTATTATAAATTTTTTTGAGTATTTTTTCAGAACGAAACATATTTTCCTAGTTTACATCGATCCCTATGGAACAAACTGTTTCCCTGGAAATTCGGGAAAAACATGAATTTTCAGTAGTACTGAAGCTGATTGATGTGAAAATAAAGAAAAAGAGCAGCTGAAAGAGTTTTTGAAATTTGGTCCCAATTCATGATAAATTGAAAAAAATATAAATTATCCATTTAAAGAACCCAAAATTTTAAGATATTCATGAACAACTGCTACAAATATAAAATGAAGTTAAGAAATTAATAAGTATGTTAATACACTTTAGAAGATAAATACAGCTTTTTTTCAAAATAAACTTGATCAATAAAATGAAGTTAAGAAATTAATAAGTATGTTAATACACTTTAGAAGATAAATACAGCTTTTTTTCAAAATAAACTTGATCATTTTATATAAAACCTAACAATTAAAGATAATTGTGAAATCAGAAACATGAAAACATACACTTTTTCTTATTATCCTTTGGTAACATCATTTGAGGTACTGGCGTTTTTACCCCAATACAATAGACAAATGTTTTAGCTTGATCATCATACATCTGAAAATACAAAATAAATCAGAAACAATTTCAAAAAGATTCCAGAAAAATTTTTATTTAATCAAATACAGCGAAGCCACTTTGTGACTACTTATGGCTGCAAATGATGTTTGGTCTTCAATGAAGGCTTTACAAAACATGGCTATTGGTAATGCTCGTTACCTTATTTACATTCTTAAAATTGCTATTGAGTTGCAGAAGTGATTAATGAGATGGATTTTATTGCACATATTTGTCATTTTAATATTATGTTCAAATGCTGGAAATATATTGAAAGTTTGTAGCTTTCAACTGTACTTTCTTTTTTTTATAGACTGTATCCTGTGTCATTTCTTAATTCATTTATTTTAATGCCTAGCAAAACTGCTATTCTGTGAATTTTTCCATATAGATCCCATTCCAGTCATAACAGAGTAGATAAATTTGCTGAAATTTTATGGGTCTGAATTCCAGAAAGAGTTTGAAAAAATAACTTTCTCATCTCTAGGTTATTAGTCACTGAATTATATGCAACCAGGCCAGATATTTTCCACTTAAAGAGAAAACTCAAAATTGTCTCCTTGATGATATAACAGAAACATTTCAATTTATTTTATACAACCTTCATAAACTGATCTTATAAGTGTCCAAGTGTTAAAATCACTAAATATTAGTACTGATCCAAGTTTGAATCCGTCTGCATTAGTGTTGGCTTAGCCAGGCTAAACGAGCCTGGTTGCATTAGTGATTTATATGTAACACAATTAAAGACAATATCCCTTACTCTTCCAAGATTAATTCCTTACCTTAAGCAAATAGCCCCCATGTGTTTTGAAGAAATAACATGTCATGGTATGCTTTAACAATCATTCTGAAGACATAAAGGAGATACACTACAAAGTCCAAAATTTGGAATGATCTATAATCCTGATCTCTATACAACTATTATTCTAGCAATTTATTATTACTTTTTTTAAGGTTTTTTTTTTTTTTTTTTTTTTTTTTTTTCTTTAGTCCAAACAGGCTTTGTCCCTGAAGGACTATTGTTTTTGTTTTGCATTGAATCACTATAAATGTCTGTTTCACTTTTTAAACTGTTAAGAGTCTTGCATTATATTTGAAGAAATTAAATAATGAAAAATCTGCATAAATGTATGTCTATTTCTCGCATTGTGATAAAACAACGGTACACAGAGCCATCGAATTTTGAATGACATAATCCTCCTACGAATATGGTCATGTGGAAGAACAAATTTGAAATTTGTTTTATTATCGATTTTGTATTTTATAAAACTTTAACGAATTTTTGAGTAACAAATTCAACGATTTAAATGCGAGCAATGGCAACATTTTACAGCGGAGGGGGGGGGGGACCTTTTTATCTTTAGTGGGCACGGAGCTGTGTACAGTCAACAGTCTTTAATACGGACTTGCCGGTACTTCGGCGATTCCGGATTATCGATTTTTCCAGATTACAGATCATCAGTTTAAATCTGGTAAGATGGCATGCAGAAATTATAAAATTTAAAATTATGAAACCATAATTTATGAAATAAAGAACAATTATGATCTAAAGGGTATCAAAATTTGCAAAAAAAAAAAAGCTTAATATTTATTTGTTTACTTTATTAAACATTTCCTTCAATGTAAGTTGTTTAAGTTGCTTCATTTTATGTGATAATACTTTCTCTTTAATTCTACAAACAGACATAATTTCTTGTTCAGTTACAAAGTTCTGCTGTTCAAGTCCTATAATTGTTGTGTCGAGAATACCGACTAATTTGTCAATCGAAATTTTTTTCGTTTTCAATAACCTCTGTGTCACTTTCTTCACTATTGGAAGCAAATTATAATGACGAGGAATTTGATTTAAATCATATCAAAGGCGGAGTACATCGAGACATCTGTCCTGAAGATAAGGATAGTGCTGACAGATCAACTTCCAATTCACTGCGCGCAGTGACGTGTCCCCCCCGCAGAGCAACGTGAAATTGATAAGCAGATTTCGGAATGTTTAGAGAAACAAAGGATATGCCTTTATCCATTTTTTGCAGCAATTCCACTTTTTGTTTGATGGACATCGAACATACTTTCGCTTTGTAGATCCTTTGGCAGCTCCAGCAGCGGAAATTCTTTTTGACATAATCGAAAGTTCAAGCTTACTTTTATAAAATTGCTCTAACAGTCTGCAAAATATAATAAGCCGGATCCAATTCGAAGATTAAGGAACAACGCAATCTGCAACATTAACTGAAATAGATAATTAGATCGTTTTAGCTTAGCTTATACCATCCGTTATACATTAAACACTCATGCGTAAACGTATTATGCGTATGCGCAAACGCATATGCGCATGCGTAAAAATATTACACACATGCGTTGATGCATGCGCAGAACGTTTGTAGCTTTGAGGTCCGGATTATAGATCATTCCGGATTAACGACTTTTGACTGTATCAGAAATTTTAAAGATATGCTCATTTTTAAATCATTTTGCAGCATTGCTACTGAATTGAATTTTATGGTTTAAGTGCAAAGAACATGATATTTAATCAATAAAGGCAACACACAAAATGTTAAAAAAACGATCCTTTAGATGTAATTTAAAATCTGAAACCTTTAAGATTTTTTTTTTTTTTTTTAGCATGCACATTTGATATTTTTTCAAAATAAAACATATGAAAAGTCCCAATTCTTAATTTTAATTAGTGTTGGCTTAGCCAGGCTAAACGAGCCTGGTTGCATTAGTGATTTATATGTAACACAATTAAAGACAATATCCCTTACTCTTCCAAGATTAATTCCTTACCTTTATACATTAAATAAGAATACAGTAGAAGCCCAGAAATCTGCAATGCTTGGGACCAGAGGTTGTGCATTAATTAATTAATTATTATATACATTATTACAATGATATACATTAATTTATTATATGTGTTACATTATTATATATATATATTTATTATATTATATTAATTATATTATATTATTCATTTATATTAGTTGATTACATGGTTACTTAAAAGCATTAAGGACATATACAATAAAGACATATAAAAATAAGGGTTATTAATTAAGCATAACATACTTTTTTTTTTTTTTTACATATTTTCAAACATTTTTCTGGTAGAGGTTTGTTTTAAAACTTCAAGGCGCTCCAGATTAAGTGTTTTTTGTAAATTATATAGAGTCATAATATCTTATTTTGTGACACAGCTCTGTTCTAAAAATTTTAAGTACTTTTCACCATGTTCCAAACACTCATTAAAATAGATTTTCTCACTAATATCAAAATCACTATCCGTGTCAGTGTCAGAACCATTTCCTTGCTGTGCTGAGTTCAAAACACAGCCAATGATTTATCATTGGCCATCTGATATGCCAGTGTTGGCTCATCTGAACACATCATCTATTCAACGATATCTTCTTTTTGCAAAGTCTTCTCATTTATTCTTTCTTTCAAACATAAAAGCAATTCCATTGTTTTATAACCTTGCTGCACTAACTCTAAAACCAGAAAATTCATTGTCATCACTCTCAGTTTCAACAAACAGAGAAGATGGTCATACTTTTACTAATGGTGTCTGGGAAACAGAACCCTTTGATTCAGCTAACAAATGAGTGCAATCTCTGATGGTGAATTTTTCTTTTTATAATCACACAGTGAAATTTCATGGTCACTTGGAAAAATTTTTTTCAGAAACTCTGACTTATTTTTTACCTCGATACAGATTGGGGAGAAAAAATCTCTACGATGAAGTCAATAATCTGATATTTCTGGCCGTAGTATTCCCATTATGAGTCATTATTATTTGGTAATTATGATGCCATTACTCAGTAAATATTTTTAGTTCGATATTTCGTTCTCCATGTTGCAGTTTCCAGAACCTATAAATTGAATGTTTATATTTTGAGAGGCAATGCGGATTTTTGGTATTTGACTATATTATACTCCATACTTAAGAAACAATCATTTATTAGCACAGACCTATCAGTGTGATCAATAATTTGACTCTGTAGCTGCCTTTTTAATGGACATCTTAAAGTGAAATTGTTTATCTACTGAATAATTTATGACCCCAACTTGGTGAATCATTATTTATTATTTTTTGCTTTTACTGTTAAAGCTTACAAGAAAAAAGTATCACCGACTTTTTTAGCTTTCAGTACTTAAAATCATAAATCACACTTCAGCACGACGTAGCCTTTAATTAAAGACTCGCGTCATAGATTTAAAGATAGTCTCTATCATTAAAACACTATAACTGCAGTGATTATTTACACAATGGAATCAGTTTCAATGAAAACAAACTTTATTGTCAGGAAAGAAACAATGACGCTCGTCGCATTGTTACATCATTCTCAATCTTTAATATCTCCTACTGTTGCCATACACAAGTAGCTAAATTATACTAACAAAATAAGTAAGGCATTATTACCACTGCATGACTATTAACACACAGCAACTTGAGAAATGACTCATCCTATGATGTCTAAATATTTTTTTTTTTTTTTAAATATTAGTAACTGAATACCAAAGATCATGATAAATATTTATATTGAAGTCAGGTCTGGGGCAGATTTCAGCTAACTGTGTTACAAAGTATTTATCGAGAAGGAGAAATTTAACAAATTTCTTTCGGATCACCGAGGCAAGCAGCTGCACGTTGGCAGCGCTCTGTAAAAAAGTGTAAAACATTTCTTTCCCCTTAGTGATTATCAATTAAGTTACTTTGAAATAGTGTTTTTTCTACAAAACCTACACGTTTTCAAAAGATTTTTCGGCTCCGATATTGATGAGAATGAAACAGCGGACAATGTGAGGATATACAACGAAAGCCTGGAATTTTAAGATAAGTACCCTTCTTTCATCTAAACAAAATCAAATTTCTATAAATAAGTGCCTTTAAATCAATAAAGTTTAATTTTTCATCAGTTTTTAGCATTAAACAATACTTGAAATTGCTCATTGCTAATGGCTTCCTTTGTGGTTACAATTCCAAAGAGACGCCAACGTTATCA